TGTTAATTGCTGGCGGCACACAGGTATCCTTGATGAAGAAGTGTACGAATTGATTGAAAATATGCGTAACCTTTAATGGAAAGTCAAGTGTGCGTTTTGTCTTCTGGAGGTTGCGAGGGGATCAACCCCCTCCTGAATTCGAATTTGATATCCATTGTTGCATCAGAGGACTTTTGGAAAATAACATATGCTAATTGAAAACCAATCAGGTGTAAGTCAACCACCCTTTATTTGAATAACAGTCTCCCTGTGATACCTGTAAAAATTATGTGCCAGTGAGGTTCACTATCGCGGGGCAGTACTGTATAAATATAGTACCTTACGTTTAAACCTACTTTATGATCAAAATCGAGTTATATTGAATTAGCAACATGTTTAGGCATTAGATCGACATCTCCTTCATAGATCCACCCATTTCGTAAAGCATCCTTGGTCTGGTCAAAACCTGAGCTAGTTTGCAAATACTCAATTATAGAGGTTTATCGACATCGCTGGAATTCAAGTCCATGAATTCCATGTCGCTCAAACCTACTTGCACCACGACCATTCAATTGTAGCAGGCGCCACCTTAAACTCCAACCACACAAACAAAACCGACACAAAAGTCATGAATATCGCTGCCATGCTTGAGCGCTTTCAGGTGCTCAATGTCTCCGACCAGCTCTTTTTTGACGAGAGCCTGAACGACTACGGCACGCTAGCCGAGGAAGCAAACGATTTTCCAGCCTACGACAACCCCGTAATTGACAAAGTACTTGAAGACGGAGGAGACCAAGCATTCCGCACCTTCACGAACTTCACTCCGGCAGAATTCGATGTGATCTGGACTGTTGTCGAACCCGCACTGCACGCTCGCTGGCAAGAAGGACGCGGTCGCAAATCCCCGACCACAGCTCGGGACGCCTTCTTCATTACCCTAGTAATATTGAAGTATTTTCAAACCTGGGAGAAGCATGCCGTTGACTTCGGAATTAAATCACCCACCTTGGAGAAGATGGTCATGCGAGTCATCGAGGTTGCCCAACCCGTACTGTACGATCACTTTGTCCGAATGCCATCTATGAGACAAATGCGTGAGACGTCAAGCTTATTCGAGCACTACCCATGTGCGAAGTATGCCACCGACGTCAAATTTCAGCCGTCACATCGACCGACCAGACGGTTCGGAGAACAGAAGCACTTCTTCAGCGGGAAGCACAAACTGTACGGTCTCAAGATTGAGGCCTCCGTGTCCCCTGATGGCTTCCTTGTGGACATGAGTCCACATGTGCCGGGGTCTGTCTCGGACATCACGATCTTCCGGTCACGAATGGACGTCCACGAAGCTGCCCTAGCCAAGGATGAGCATGACCTGACAATCAACGACAATGGCGAACTCTTTCAAACCTTTGGAAGCCAGAGGGCTGTCCTCGTCGACAAGGTGTATATTGGTCTTGCCAACGACATCCGCGCAATTAATCCCAAGAAGCGTCCTGTCAACGGCATCCTCGATCGTCACGACCTTGACCGCAACAATGCCATCTCTTCCGATCGCGTGATCGTCGAGAACTTCTTCGGACGCGTTTGCCTTCTCTGGAAGGTCTCCAACAGCACGTTCGTATAGAATCCCAAGTTCTACGACTCAATCCAGAGTCTTACCTTCGCACTGACCAACTTTCATGTCTCCCTCCTGCCCTTACGACTAGATGACCACCACCAGTACCGGGCCGTTCTGGCCAGATACGCTCGTATAGCCGAAGAGGCGAGGTCGCGCCAAGCTGAAATCCAACGGCGCTATGTTCTACGTCGGGCTGAGAGATTCGCTGCAGCCTCCGTTCGCTCTGCTGTCGCTACCCGGGGATCGTTCTTGTCTATTCCAAGTAGCCGTCGTTGAATATAAAAAATGACAATTTATACTTGATATTTGCATATTTCTATACAAACTTCAAGTGTAAATTATATTTTGGAATTATATTATCGATTTGGGGTCGACTGCTCAATTCCAAGTAACTTCCAATGACTTGAGTCATTTCGCAAACACCCTTGTATTTGCTCAGAGGGGTTGTCAATTGTCAAGAACGCGGTCTTACACTAAGGAATGAAGCTGCTAATCAGTAAGAAACACATCTACTGAGTGACTTCCTCTCTCACCTTAAATCCAATCGATTCGGAAATCCATAGTCATTCGATTTGGTGATCAAATGTCATCGTGGCATCATACAACAGGATAACCGTATCGTATCCGAACTGCGAGTGTTCAAGTCAGTACTTCACAAGGGTGGCAGACCTTGGTATTTTGCAATTGGGTTTTTTCAGGTTTTAATATAAATCGGATGATCTGAGGTCGACCAAAATCGGGTTTTATTCGGAAAATCGGGTTTTAATAGGATGCGGACTGCTCTCCTCGTTGAGAGATGGGCAATTGGCTGTTTCCATTGCAAATGTGATCATGTTAGGCATCGTTGTGGAGGCGGAGATCATCGTCATCGACATCGAAAGCGATATCGCCGAAGATAGCAATATTGATGGGTGTCAGTGGGTAGACTTGCAAAGCGTCGCGATCCGTCTCTTTAGTATGGCGAAATCTACTAGTCTAGCGTCTGAGCGAAACGTCTGAACAATGGTTTCATCCATTACATGATGAGGAACTCCCTGAGCGCCAAAACTGTTGACAAGCTCGTGCTCATCAAGAGAAACATGGGTGGGTGCGTTCTACAGTTGTCCGACGGGCGACGACTACTCCAGCGAGATTGATTCCGATCATGACAGCCTCGACTAATGTCACCCGGAATAAAACCATGGTTTTAATACCCAGGAATATAATATCGTGTTTTAACGATTAAAATCTTAACCCGATTTGTCTGGTGAAACGGTCGGGTTTTTACCACCCCTGGTTACGGTACAAGAGTCGGCGGTTCCCCCGACACTTGGGCACTCCGAGAAAAATGTGGTTTTCGCAGTTCATAAAATCGAGGAGTTTTTAGGTACCTCTGGCCAGGCGAGCATATGACAGTATATGCGATATGTCACATACTGATTTCCCTCGCTAAGTCAAGCGGTTCATTCTATGCAATTATCGCAATTCATCCAAATATAGAGGTATAAATTGTTGCACAGACTTCGAAAACCAATCAATTCAAATTCATTACAGACACGTTTAATGTGAACATGGACAAGTCATTGTCCAAAATGCCAGTGCGATTCCAGCAGTTGACAACGGTCGACTGCGGCATAGATCGCCACGCGTCCTTTGCCCACCCCATCGCATCAACAAGAGGTACATTTTTTTTAGACGTCCTTGCATGACGTTGTCGATTTGGTCCAGGGCGTTTTGCAGTTGTCTCTGCTTCAGCTTCGCCAAGAACGCAGCAAATATCCCAGCGTCCTGAGGTTGGAGGTGTGCCGTTGTGTCTTCATCGCTGAAAATTCAAAAATTACTCGAGGACTTTGCTCAAACGTAATCAGCCCAGTTTCAAATTTCAAATTGCCTTTCCAACTTTATATTTTGACTTTCAGAGATTATTCACTTTGTGCCGTTCGACTTAGCGAGGGAAATCAGTAGAACGAATCCGTATTGTTCAAATTTTACCGGAGTGGTGCAATTTATCATTGTAGGCCAATCTATCGATCATCTGTACACTTTTTTCTTCCAGCCGCATGTTCATCAGGTCCAGCACCAAATGATCAGCTTGACAATTCAAACTGCGCGGAACCTTGTCATGGTTGTCCCCGCTGCATCAACTATCGCGGCAACGACACGCTATAGCGTTTCAAATGTGCATTGCTGACAACAATGCAAGTTCCATATAGTGTAGGTGCAGTGGCACTGCTAAGATACGTTGCTCGATGCCATCAATCGAGTGCTGTTGCCGCCTGCCATTGTTGTCTTTCAATCTGGCAGTGACCTCGGGAGGTCTGCCTCCACCTAGCCCTTGATTGCCACGTTGGAAGATGCGCCACCCATTGGCTGGGTTTACATGAGATTTGGCGCGCACATCGCTCAGTATCGCACAAGAAACTTTGCTGTCCGTGCTCCTTTTCAGCAGCTCGAGGTACAGGCATTGTCGTTGATCGTCTGTAAAATTTGACTTGTGTTTTGTATAGGAGCCTTCCACAGACTGGCCATTCCGTGTCCAAACGTTAAATATAATTCAGGAAAAGTCACCGCTATTCATTATCTTTTGTCCTGTCCGGTCCACAAATTTCTAGGCCAATCGGAGAAGAGATGACCGAAATGTAGAACTGCCCGTAATATTTGGGGGACAGAGGAAGTATAACATTTTAAATATTTCAACCCAAATGCAAATTATCTATTCGATTGCTAAATGCGGGCAAGTCAGTGTCAAGAATACATGTTCGTCGCCAACAGTTCACAACAGTCGACGGTGCTACAAAACGCACAGCGTTACGCGCCCATTTCATTGACTAGGGGGGTGCTTCGTAGTACCGGTCTTGGCGGCCAGCCAAAACAGTGTCGTTATTTGCTCCCAAGCGTTCTGAATCTGGCGTTGCTACAACTTCGCCTTGAAGGATGCGATGATTCCAGCGTCTTGCGGTAGCAGGTACGTAGTCCTATGCTTGGGGAGCTTCAACATAACATTGGCTAGGTTAAGACCCGCGCCTTTAACTAGGGAGAGCTGTAGACAAGCAACAGCACATTCCCGCGAGCGTTCAATGCCTTGAGGTACACGTTTCGAACACCGTCGACGTCATCCATGCTTTACTAGTTGAGTAGTTGTTAAAACCCAAGCCACCGCCAGTAGAGCGATTGAAGCAGCGCGGTTGCACCGCCGTCCAATGAAACAATGGATTTACCACGTCGGATCCATCAGCATGTGCAGTGAGTGCAATGTTGATTCGCTTTTGCTTCTTCATCCTAGACTGACGTTGCCTTCTGTTCGATCGGCGAGAGGCAGTGAAATGACGTTTTGCCCATGTTGTCGATGTTTGAGGGTTGTAACCAAATATTATTCGTAGAACTTGATCTCGGCCCGACCGCACTGCTTCTTGTGAGGATGATGCTGCTTCTCGGGGTTGGTGCTAGCTTGTAAGATTGTGCTTAAGTTGGAACTTGAAATGTCATCACTTTGAGTTGATTGAGCGTTGTGCGGTAGGAACCACGAGGCAATCGGCTTTGGCTTGGTTTCATATGTGCTCTCTGGTTAAATAAACCCCAAGTTCCTCGCATCGAAGAACCCATTCAAGCAGCTCGGCTTCAGGAGAAGGTGGCTTATCAGCTCGATCAATCGAACGACTTTGGAAGTCCGCGCGTTCTGCTTGAGTAGCGCCTAGCTTCACGACCTTTCCTATTGCCGATTTTGCTGGAATAGTCCATACTCTTTTGAGCGCAACTAGCCAATTCACTGTAGCTAGCATTGGGAAGTTGTTTATGCTTCTCGAGCAACATGCTCTTGCCCGACAGCGTCATTAGCAGTTTTATCTTTGAATTTATCTGGATGGAATTCCAGCAGCTGTTGAAGAATAGAAGTTTTCCTTGTGAATCAATATATCAACTAAGTATTGAATTATACTACCTCTGTCCCCCAAATATTGCAGGCGAACATTCCACAGTACACCAAAGTCAAATACAAGGAATCTGTATCTAAATGTTTTTACTCGAGTAGTACTAATCTATTCAACGTCGACAACCAAAGCATCCATCATCTGCGTCAGTTCTTCCAACCGATCTTCTTCTTCCAGCCGCAAGTTCATCATGTCCAGCGCCAAAATATCAGCTTGAAAATTCACAACTGCGCGGGACCTTGTAACGGTTGTCGCCAGCTGCATCCACAATTGCAGCAATAACACGCTGTAGCGTTCCAAACGTGCTTTC